ATATATATATAATAAAAACATATACACCTCCCAAAAGTTTGGTCAGGTGGGCGGTTGAAAATACGGACCCTTTAATGCTAATTCCACTTTTTGCTATACCTCGATAACTTTCAAAGTGAATCGAATTTTTTTTCTGCCTACAATGGTAAGATTCGTTTATAATAAGATAACTCCCTATAAAAAATACACTTGTTTAAACTTCTAAACTTAACTGCAAAAAATCAACTTAAATTTCTTATAACTGTTAATTTGTTTTTATTATTTTTTTTTACACATAGTCGAAAAACTTATACATGGTAAGATGTACAAATTTTGATACGATTTTAAAGGCAAAATGCAATATTTAAACGAAATCAATTTATTAGTTTTTGAGTAACTGGATGTAAAAAGACGTAATTTAAAAATTCATTTTCTCTAGAACAACTCAACGGACTTCGTTCAAATTTTGTACCTTCATACGATCAGAGAATGACATTTAATTTCAATTTTCAATAATTCAGTATTTTTAACTGTTATCCTATTCCCGCTACTGAATTTTTTCATCTACCTATTCTAACATGCGAACCTCGGACGCAAAAGATCTAATACACTCTTAAGTTTGAAACCATTTGACAATCTTGTTGAAATTAAAGCTAATGGTGAAATTGATTATTTAGAAAGAGTTGCATTTATTAAGTTCTGCTGACTTCGATTTAATATTCGCATCATTTACTTTTCCCCAGGTGGCCTAAAGCAACAATATTGGAAAAGAAAAAAGAAGATTTGGACTTGTAAATAATTTTTTAGATGAGAAGAAAATTTCTTTTAATATTTTTTTACTTCAGAGTTTACGATCGATTTTGTACATTTTGTCATTAGATTTATATGATATTTATACAAACGATATCGAACAAGAATACATAATCAAAATTGTACACAAATAAATTAACAATCTTTATATTCTGAATAAAAAAATTATTGATGAAAAAGCTAAGCTCAGTTGTATGAAAGAAAGCTGAAATTTAACTTTAACAATACCAAAGAATGACTTCCCTTTTTTTTTGGGGGGGGGATTAGTTTAGGATTAATTTTCTCTATATATGTAGGAGATTTTTTCTTACAATATTTTCTATAATAATATTAAATTGTAAGACAAAGCATTGATTCAAGTTTGAGTCATGACATGAAATTTCATGAAACAATTTTAATTAGCTAACTAATTTCTACGAAAAATATTATTTTCAAGGAAAGTCAAAAAGTTTCTTGCACATCACTTTATAACTTATACAATAAAATCCTCATTTTCATCCCAATAAATAAAAATACACCACAAAAAAAATCAACAGCATTAGAATACAAAAGAAAATAAAAAATGAAACATAACAAAATTAAATTTAATTACTAAAAAACACGCATTTATTAAAAGAGCCGCTTTGAAGCTTACCATTATTATAACATAATACGTGAATGCAATATTAGAAGAAAAAAAATTCAAAAAATATATTTGTCAGCAAGGACTTTTTTGAGTTCCGTCCTTAGTGCCTTGGCACTGACGCCATAATTCCAAGTTTTTTCGATGTGTGTTTGGTAGTGTTTCACAATAGGTTTAAGATTTTTATAATGTCAGGTAGGTCTAACAGTGATAAGTTATGCTGAAATTTATATTAGCCCTAACCATTATTTGATGCAAGTAAAGAAAATTGTTTATATATATATATATATATATATATATAGAGCTTATACACAGTTCCCTGATATTGCTGAGATGACCTAGGCTGTAAATAGCACATGCGCAGCGGCG